CATCATCATCTCTCTTTGTCCCCCTCGACTTCTCTCCTCTTCCATCTTTTAGCTACATTAAACACACTTGAATTCCATTACCAGACAACAAACAACGAGATAAACACGCTTGAATCCCTTGAAAACAGCTTGGAAATCTCCCTGAGAACGGACACGGAAATGTTCGTGACGTTTATTGTCGTAGAAAGAAAGAAAGAGTATGGGAATGGAAGAAAAGGGAGTAAATGCATGAGAAAGAAGAATGGGAAAACCCCGTCGTTTTCTCTAACATAGATATTAGAAAACGTGAAGCATTCTTAAACCTCTAGATTAGATAAATAAATAAACCAATAGATAGATAAACAAACAGAAAACACAACAAATAAATAAATAAATAAATAAATAAAGAGATAAATAAATACATAAATAAACAACTAAATTCCTAGGAAGCTCTAAATAAGACAATACATTCACCTCTGAATTTACCGCGAGCTTTCCGGATGCAGGAGTGTCCCCTCGAAACGGAAAGGATGATTTAAAAAAGTTCACTGAAACCGAGTCCGTGGAATGACGTTCTTAGTTATTTCCTAACTGAATATTACCGCTCGATTATCCAAGCACTGATGTCCTTATCAGAGAAGAATTGTCAGAAAATGATGACTAGGTCTGTATAAGTAGATATGGAAAGTGTAACGTGCATTTCTTAATCCCTGAATATATATATGTATATGTATGTAGACACACACACACACACATACACACACACACACACACACACACACACACACACACACACACACACACACACACACACACACACACAAGTGTAACGTGCATTTCTTAATCCCTGAATATATATATGTATATGTATGTAGACACACACACACACACATACACACACACACACACACACACACACACACACACACACACACACACACACACACACACACACACACAAGTGTAACGTGCATTTCTTAATCCCTGAATATATATATGTATATGTATGTAGACACACACACACACACATACACACACACACACACACACACACACACACACACACACACACACACACACACACACACACACAAGTGTAACGTGCATTTCTTAATCCCTGAATATACATATGTATATATATGTAGACACACACACACACACACACACACACACACACACACACACACACACACACACACACATACACACACACACAGAACCACCACCACCACCAACAACAACAACAACAGCAACAACAACCGACCCTTAATGAATCCGAGTGCCTGGTCGAGGGCGACGCTGGGGGATTCACAGGAATCGAGTGCCAGTGCCCCGAGGGTGATGCCAGGGAGGAGGTCGCTGTTCTGGTTGATCTGGTCGAGGGTGTAGAGCATGGCCTCCAAGGGCTGGATGCCGTCCACGCCCTGGCAATGAGGAGGTGGAGAAGGTAAGATAAAAGGAAGGAATAGAAGAAAATAAATTAATTAAGGCTAAGGATTTTTTATGCGAGGTAATTTCCGGAAAATATTTGAAAAAAGAAAGATAATAATAATAATTATTATTATCCTTATCATTATTATTATTATTATTATTATTATTATTATTATTATTATTATTATTATTATTATTATTATCATTATTTTTAGGGAATGTCTTAAGGTCGTTTCACTGGTCTTCTGTGATATGAGGTAGTATTTCATATAATCAAAACATCGATTTTTTTTTAAAGGGCTAATTTTCATGTGATCTTAGAGCTGTTTATACTTAGAGACCCATTGTTCCAAGATCAATAATTCATAATATTAGGAAACATAAAAGATGATTATAGGAAAATTCTATTTCACAAATATGCAAATCATTGTCGCAATCTCCTTCCTCGAAACATGGTGTAATAGATAACGAAGCTAGACTGATAAAGTGAAGATTATCCTCATCATTATCCTCATCATTATCATTTTCTTTATCATTATTGTGACTGTAATTATTAATATGACCATAAGAATAACAACAGCTACCGCTATTTCTACTACTATTACTACTATAACTACTACTTCTAATATCATCACTATCATCATTATCACTACCAAAGCATAATCTTTATTATTATATCTATTTTCCTTATCACTATCATATTCATGTTGACAATTAATAGTTTATCATCATCATTATAGTTTTGATGATCACATTCATTATGAATTTGAACATAATAATGATGATTTTTATTAAACGATATCCTGCCATTGGTATTGTCTTTTAAAACGTTAAGAAAGTAATAATTGAAAACGTGACCGCATTATTTTTCTGTTAAAAAAGGCGAGAAAATTACAATTCATTATTATTCATATTTTTCTAACCCGCACTAAGCTTAATTAGACATAAGTTTTGTATAAAATAAACAAAACATAATCAAAATCCTTGGTATCTCAAATATAAAAAACAGTATGCAATCAAGACTTATTTTTAAAGATTTCATTCCCTGCTATATTTTAAGCAAAGACAAAGTGCATTTTCTTGTTTTTTTTCTTTCTTTGTTTCTATGTTTTATTGCATTTAATTTATAACGTCCGGCTGAAAGCTTCGCCGGATGGCTTTAGAGGAAACGTGCACAAAGTCAGACTATCCGGCTGATTCTCAAATTTTCCTCTTTCACGACCTCCAAAAAAGCACTACAATTCATCACGTATCCCACAATAAACCCTAACACCCTATTCCCCCGAAAAACAACAACAACAAAACAAGGACACAAATGAAAACAATAAAAAATAAAACAGGCTCGTTACCCCCTAACCACCTCACCTGCAGCCAATCGCACACGTCGAAGCCCAAGTTAACGTCCCGACGACTCGCATGGATCGGGAAAAGCGAGCCTATGAACAGCGTGGCGTTGGCAGGATAGATCAAGGTCACGTTCTTGGTGTTCGAAGAATTGGTGGCCATGGCTTCGGCACTCCAAGGGTGTAGGAGCGACGTCAGCGCCGCCGTCAGGAGTGTCAGGAAGAAGCGCGAGCTCTCCATCTTCAGGTAGGAAGGAAAAGGTTGTTATTATGATTGATTTATTGTTTTTGCTTTATTATCAGTATTGTTTATTATTATTATTATTATTGCTATCGTTATTATCATCACCACCATTATCATTAATGTTATTATATGTGTATGCATTATATATATATGTATATATATCTATATATCTATATATATATGCTATATATAGATACACATTGTATATATATATATATATATATATATATATATATATATATATATATATATATATATATATATATGCATGTATACACACACACACACACACACACACACACACACACACACACACACACACACACACACACACACACACACACACACGCACATATATATGTATAAATATATATATATATATGCAGATATATACATATAAATATGTGTGTATATGTCTGTATGCATATCTATTTTGTATATTCATATTAATCTCCCTCTATCTATCTGTCTAGCTATCTATATAATGCACACACACACACACACACACGCACAAATATGTATATATATATGTATATATATACAAACATGTATATATATATATATATATATATATATATATATATATATATATATATATATATACATATATATATATATATTTATATATATATATGTGTGTGTGTGTGTGTGTGTGTGTGTGTGTGTGTGTGTGTGTGTGTGTGTGTGTGTGTGTGTGTGTGTGTGTGTGTATGTGTGTGTGTGTGTGTGTGTGTGTGTGTTTGTGTGATTAGGAAAATTCAGTTCCGTCCACAATAACATAGTTAACAAAATATAAGAAAAAAAGTAAAGCACCCTTCCTCCATATATATATAGATGAAAAAAACAGTTTAAAACTCATCTGTAACCTTTCAATCACAATCGATATGGAATCTCTTTACTAAAATATTTTGAGAGACGTCTTGAAAAGGTTCCCCATTACCTCCTTCCTTGGCGAAATTCCCGCCAGGGTGACAGACAGCGTGAGTGAGGCGGAGATAGGTGTCAGGAAGGCGAGAGCGAGTGAGACATATTCCGTTACGAGAGGGAATATTGTCATTTTTTTTTTTTTTTAGATCGAGTTCAGTTGTATTTGTTATATAGGTGAGGTTTGGTTTATTTCCTTTTCTCTTTATTTATTATTCTCTCTCTCTCTCTCTCTCTCTCTCTCTCTCTCTCTCTCTCTCTCTCTCTCTCTCTCTCTTTTTCTCACTATCTCTCTCTCGCTCTCTCTCTCTCTCTCTCTCTCTCTCTCCCTCTTTCTCTCTCTCTCTCTCTCACACTATCTCTCTCTCTTTCTCTCCCTATCTCTCTCTTTATGGGAAGTTGTTTACATGAGTTGTAAATAGAGTATAGTATTTCCGTTATTATCATCCTTTCATATCATTTCACATATAACTGAAATATATATCAAGACACATCATTAACCATATAAACACAAGACACAACGAAAAATCCCGAAGTAGTCAAAGTAGACGTTTAAAACAACGTGACGAGGCGGCCGCGGCATCTCGTCCCCCACACCTACAGTTACGTTGCTTCCTGTCCTCAATGTATTTCTCGGAGATGCTTAAGGTGTTAATCATGTCACTCTCTTTCACCGCTTAAGAAGGCCTCCACTCGAAGCGCTATACAATTAAAGAGTTTTTCCCTTTTTTTTCTCTTTTTTCTTATCCTTTTTCTTGGGTGGTGTTTGGTTTCCAGATCAATCATTTCGGGGAAGTATTCGATTATCAAAAAGGAAAAGTTTGGTATGTTAAACGTAAGCAAAGGACAACGAACGCATTCTATATTTGTCATACGAGTCATTATCTCGCTGTCATCTCGTTATTAAATGACTCATTTGAATTATTGTAACAATAGAAGGAAGAAAATAAACATATACGTATATGTATATATATATATTTATATGGACAATACTCCATGTCCTTGGATATTACCACGTAAATAAAAAAAAAACAGATTCGGACATACGTAGTAGTGATAAGAATGTACTTATAACGGAGAGATAGAAAAAATTGTCTTATTGTTTTCAGGAAATACAGCAAGGAGGGATTCATCGGATGAGTCAGGCCTTCCGCCCACCTGCCCATCCCTGCATTCACCTGTACTCACCTGGAGGGCAGAAGGAGTGACGTCACAAAAATACGCATATTTCTTTCCTTATATATTTCTTCCTTCTTTTGTGTATGTATCTTTAATTACTTTGTGGTCTTTATCGATGGAATGAATATTTTTACGGTCTATTATACACTTGTTTATACGCAATTATCAGACTTCAATATTTTTCTTCATGTTTACCTTTCATACGTCTGGCAGCGTGTCGTTGTTTCGGAACGTTATCGTACGGAACTTCTTGAAGGTGAATCAGAAACAAGAGATCCGGAATAAATGATGCAAGACATAATGCAAAGAGAGGCATTACGCTGCTTCTTATCTGAGGCCATTACGGTGTTATCTCAAACGCTGTTGATCTATATTTATTATCAGCCTCTCTGCAAATCTTTTCCCAGTACGCACACACGTTTCTATATCGACCTCTTAGTCAGCTTGGACCTATACGCCACACAGTCTGATATAACTCTACACTACTTTATTATAACATTATAATATAACAGAATACCCCTTTTTTATTATATATTACAGTATATTAGCAATACAGACACCCCCCCTCTCCTATTTTCTCATCAAGCGATAGGTCAGTCCAGTTTAGAAGATCGGGGGGGGGGGGTTAATTAATGGAGTGTGATGAGGGCTATTATCTTGTTAATTACCGGCGGCATAGAAATGTCATGTTATGTTGTGCATGCGTCTGTACGTACATGCGAAAATGTGTGTGCGTGTTTACATGTACGCGAGAAGGGTACACGGGTATATATACATGCGAGAGTATTTACACAGTAACATGGATTAAAACCTTAGAGAGAAAAAAAGTGAATTAGAGATAAGGAAGACAACAAGAATAAGAAAAACAAAAGACCTCAATTCAGAGCGGATGTTAAACACCTACTAACCGACTCCTTAAACGGCTTCTTAGGAGATTCGAGATAACAACTACTAAATTAAGGGGAAACGTCATTGATAGGGACGTCACGCTGCGTAGGACGCTGGAAAACCACTTCGCGTGAGTCACTGCAGCGTCCTTTGGCAGGATAGGGATGAGCTCTCTCCCTGGGTACGGTGCGGGAGGGAGGGAGGGAGTGTGGTGGGGGGGAGGGGGTAAGGTAATGGTGTCAAGATAAGGGTATTTTCATACACACGCACCAACAAACACACACACACATACACACGCACACGTGTGTGCGTGTGTATGTATATATACATACATAGGTGTATGTACATATTTATATATATGATGTATATGTTATATATACACACACACACACGTGTGTGTGTGTGTGTGTGTGTGTGTGTGTGTGTGTGTGTGTGTGTGTGTGTGTGTGGTGTGTGTGTGTGTGTGTGTGTGTGTGTGTGTGTGTGTGTGTGTGTGTGTGTGTGTGTGTGTGTGTGTTTGTGTGTTTGTGTACGTGTGTACACAAACACACAAAGAGAGGAAGAGAGAGAGAGAGAGAGAGAGAGAGAGAGAGAGAGAGAGAGAGAGAGAGAGAGAGAGAGAGAGAGAGTACCATATCTTAAATGTATCCTATATTTACTAATGGGACGAGTGAGAGAGCGTAAAGATAAATGAAGGTGACAGATTTGGTGCTCAGAAAAGGCAAGAAATATTACAGCTATGAAGCTAAGTTGATATGATAAGATTCAAACCTAAATATAGTTTATTTTTTATCTTACCTTTATTAACAATAGGAAATCAGTGTTTATAGGTCGAAGATTACTATTAACTTTATTTGGTGATTGGAAATATGGAGAATGTGACATAATAATGATAACTATTGCTTATGTATTTCTGTCAGTTAATGGGAAATGATTATATGTATTATGTTTGTATACCTATCAGTTGAATTATGAATATTGTCTATATTTTTCGCCAATATTGTCACTTTACATGTAGTTATTTTTTCACCATGTTAGAAATATATATATTTTTAAACGTCTGTATTCTATCTTGTATGTACATTCAAATCTTTCATACATGTTTTATACACACATCATACATATTTACATAAACAACATATCAACATACCTTATATTGCTGTTACTGTAGGAGGCGTAGGTTATATTTCATTCACTATATATTTGGCTGTGAACCATTGGATGTTCTACATATAGGAAAATATATCCATACACGAATAAAACTTTCTGTTCTTATTATTTGCCTTCTTATTTACCTATTTCTCTATCAACCTTCCGCGGCGATTCCTCGACACGAACGAGATATCTACATTTGTCTCTTTTTATCTTTACATATCATATCCCTAACGATTAAAGAATGAAAAACATCGAAAGCGCAACGCCAGTCACGTGTTGGACGCAACGGGAGGAGGACGCGTCGTGCTCGTTCCAGCGCCGAGAGAAAACTTAACATTGGGACGCAGAGAGGCATCG